TGAAGTTTATTTTTGCTTCCCACATTGTTTTGTATCTGTTTCTTCTAAGTGCTTTTTTTTCTTATTTGTTTGATCCTGGTTTCTCTCTTTCATATTCGAGATGATTCTCAAATGTTTGGTGATTCTTGTCCTTTCAAGTCTCCCCAAGTGTTACTGGAGTTTCTGTGTGCACATGTAAGGGTTTCTTGACTAATATACTTCTCAGTGGGTAGAATGGACAAGGGATATAGCCATTTCATTGGGAAACCCCAATTGTTACTATCCAAAATTCTTTTTTATAATTTCCTGGCTATTGATATATATGGTAAGCCTCGTTATCTGTTCCAGGAACTGACTGGGTGAAGTGGACTGGAAGGTCTCACCCTTTACTATATCTACTTTCACTCTAGCTTTATCCCATGCCCTGCTGTTGTGTATCCTTAGATCCAAAGCCTCTCACATTCCATTTTCCTGGAGAATTGGCCTTTGATATCCTGCCGGGATAGTGGGTAGGAGCAGCTTGGGGTTTAAGGAGGGCATCCGAGCATCTGTCTGCTCCTTTTACTATCATTCAAACAGTCCTGCTTTCGAATCCGTTCTTCTCTCACTCTTTCATAGGTATCTGATGTTTCTATTTCTTGAGACTTTCCAGTGTCATGGCACATGAATGGGTTCACTCCTCTAAGCATTTCACCCCACTCCCCCACTGCCCAGACGCATCAGGTTTCAATGTCCTATAGTCTGCTAATTGCCTCTCACCCCTACGTTGCTTTCCATTTTCCAAAAATTTAGTTGACATCTTTTTCATCTAGTTTGGTCAACTCCTCCCTTGTTTTCTTTTCCTTATGAATTTATTCATTTTTTATTAATTTACTGTCATTTTAGTGGTGTTTTGGGATTAAGTAGAGTTAAGTATATGTATTCAATTCTCCACGTTTAATGAAAGTGTTCCTTTCTATTTCTGAATATCTTTTATTTTTATTAGGTGGCTTACAGGAACTGGTAAAATTTAAAACTTCTGTCCCTTTGTTTTCTTCATCTCTAGTCTTAGGACAACAAAAATCCTGAACTCTCTGCACTGGTTTTCCTTTGGTAGTTATACGTGAACTGTTGTTTTTGTTTGTTTTTTAATTTACTACATTCTTTTTCTGGACCACAACAAGGCCCATAGCAGCAGGGCCACACTTGACAGGACTCGCATGGAGCTAGTAGGAAGAAAAACTGGCCAAAAAAGAGTGTCATCTGTTTTAACCTGGTTTTAAATGATAATGTCCTATTCTCTAACATACTATGTTTCTTTCCTGATGTCCCTCCTTTTTTTCTAATGTTGCAATTTTTTATGTGTGTGTCTGCTCCGTCTGAGGCATTTTCAGGGGCCCCTTTTTCACATTTACATTTCCCATACAGTTTTCTTTTCCATTTTCTCTCTTCTTATTGACCTGTGCCTTTTGTTGCTTCACCTCTGACCCTTGTTTCTGTGGCTGCTCTCCAATAATCCCCACTCCACACAGGAATGCCCATTTTGCCCTTTAGAGGCTCAGGCCTTCCTCCCATCCTTGAGAACTTTCCTCATACAATAAAAAACAAAGTCCACCCATTCTTTGGCCTCTTGAACGAGAGCTGGACTTTCCTCTCCTTAATTAGCTTTCTTATTAGACCATTAATTTATCTTCATTCTAATAGGAATTTGTTCTCCACTTAAATGTGGCTTTTCTTCTCCAGAACCTGAGAAATTTCAAGTGTCTGGAATGCATGGTCAAAAATAGTAGTGCTTTTCATTTTACATGCTGCAAACTTTATTCTTTCTGACTCGTAACTCCTATACTTTTATGGGCTCATTTCCTATTTTTATAAGAAATTCTGGACTTTGGCATGCTTAACCAGAGAAGCAGCCTTAATTATTGACTCCTACCATTCAGTTATAATTATGTAACTTCTAATGGAAAATCTAGCCAACCCTCCCCTTTCCTCATCCTAGCAAAAGGAAATCTGCCCCCTGGCATATCCTAGGATAACTTTCCCTGTGAGATGATCCCTTTCTACTTCCCAGTAATGATCCATAATCATTTGAATACCATTTCGGTGTCCTGTATCTTTCAAAAGTCTACTTTGAAAAACCAAAAATGTCATCTTTATGTGGCTTCCTTTTATAACCGATGAGCAGGAAGAGCTCCAAATGTAGCTCCCTTTGTCTGAAAATGACATTTGCTCTTCGCTTTTAGTCGTTTTGCTTGCCAAAAGTACCTCCAGAGGCCCTGAGATTGGTGGCCCTAAAATGACCCTGTATCCCCACCCTCTTGCTATTCACACTCATGTGCAATCCCTTCGCTTTGACCGTGGGTTGGGCTTATTGACTCATTTGCAGCAGGAGCAATGAGTAGAATACAGCAGAAGCAATGGGATGTCACCTCCAAGATTAGATTACAAAAAGACTGTGGCGTCTGTTTCAGGCACTCTCTTTTTCACTCTCTCATTCTTGCTTATTTGCCTACTCTGAGGGAAGCCAGCTGCCGTGTGGTGAGCCATTCTATGGAGGTGTTGTAAGGAACTGAAGAAGGCCTCTGACCTCCACAAGGTGCTGAGGCTCTGCACCCAAGAGCCCATGAGGCAATAAATCCTGCCAGCAACCGCAAAGTGAGCCTGCAAGCCAGTCCTCTCCCAATGAGCCTTTGGATCAGACTGCGGCCCCTAACAACCTGATACCAACCTCATGAAGGCCTTGAGCCAGAAGCACCCACTAAGCCGCATCCAGATCCTTGACCCATAGAAATGATGAGATAAAAAATGTTTGTTTGAAGCCATTGAATTTTAGGACAATTTATTGTGCAACAACAGAAAACTAATACAGGACTTTAAGTCCAAAGTTTTAGTGTTAGTTGATGCTTTTTATATGATAAGTTTCTGTTTAGGTCATTCTTGTCTCCTGATATCAATTTAATTACTCATATAAAACTTTCTTTAAATTCCTCTTTGAGAACAGAGAATGGCAGTTGTCAGTCTTGTTCATAACTGCATATGTAGTGCCCAGCACGGGGCCTGGCACCTGCACAGATGTTCAACATACATTTTCTGAATTTGATCCCTTTGTCTTTTTCCACATACTGTAATTTGTAAGTTACTCCTCACTGTCCATATTGTCATTTCTTTGGGGATTTAAGAGTTAGAGAACCTGCTGGTCTTGTTGCCTTCAAATTTCCCTCCTTTAACCTCCCGTTCCCCTTCTAGAGCTTAAGCACTACTGCCTCACTTGAAGCAGAACTGCAGCACTTCTGTGCCCCTCGGGGTCGCTGCAGCAGAGCCGAGTGCCGCGCGCACCCCTTCCCGCCCGGCCTGCACTGGTGCGGCGGCTCCGTCAGCAGGGAGCTGTGCTGCTTTGTTCCAACAGGAGACACTCAGTCATCTGACCCCCTAACCACCTGGTGGAATAGCAGTGTGTTTATTGTTACTTGAAAAGTAATAAATAAATTAATAAGGTCTGGAGATGAGTGCTAAGACTGGGGTTCCCTGTGAAATTTGGAAGCAGAGTAACTGTAATTCAGGCTTCCTGAAAGAGGAAACATTGCTCTCATGGAGATTCAAATTTGAATCTTGTCTCCACCATGCTATGAGACCTTCTGGGAGTTATTCAGTGTTTTAGAGTCAGTTCCTCATTTGTAACATGGAAATAATTTCTACTTTATAGGGTTGTTTAGGCATTGCTCTTGATCCTATATTCTAGCCACTCCCATTTTAAGTTAATTTAGAACTCCTTTGCAATAATCAGTTCACTTCATAATTATAATGATGGCATATACTTCTTATTCTGCTTGATAATTTAAAATAGCAAGAACATGGTATATTTAATTATTAATAATCAATGTTATGACTAGCACTTCCTTTTTATTCCTTTTTTAAGATGTCCATAAAACCAACAAAAGTATTACTTGTCATTAACATTCAGAATCTTCCTCCATTTGCCTTTATTTGCTGTACGCTCATGAATGGGATCAAATATTCTGATGTGACCTAACTTTGGTGATTAGAGAACAGATTAATTGTTCTACTGTCTTAGTTCAAGTTGCTATAACAAAGTGCCGTAGACTGAGTGGCTCAAACAATAACCAAATTTATTTCTCCTAGTTCTAGAGGCTGGGAAATCCATGATCAAGTCACAGGCAGACTGGGTGTTTGGTGAGGGCCTGCTTCCTAGTTTGAAGATATCCTTTCTCTGTGTCCTGATGTGGCAGAAAGGAAGAGGGAGCTTTCTGGCATCTTTTTAGTAAGGGCACTAATCCTATTCTTGAGGGCTCTACCTTCATGATTAAACACTTCCCAAAGTCCCCACCTGACTAAAATACCTCCCCAAGTCCCTACCTCTAAATATCATCACATTGGGGACTGGTTTCATGATTTTTCTGGAGATACAAACAGTCTATAGCATCCACCATTTCCAAACTGTTTAGCAGTTCAGAAATAAGACTTTGTTAGAAAAAAAATTTTAAATCAAAATATGTCTACTCCAGTTCAGATAAAAACGTTGCTAAAATAATCACACACACATAAGAAAGAAGATCAACACATGTCAATTACCTTATACATTTAGGTTGACAGAAAGATAAATCCCTAAATAAAAATGACATTTAAGATATATTGTCCAAATATTATTTGAACTAAAGCATCAAGTCCTCTAAGAGTTTTTTCGCAAAGATTTAATGTCAAAACATGGAAGACATATAAAGATTACTAGTCTCAGAGGTTTTAAAAGGTCATTTGCAACAGAGCAGAACTGGGTGCTAAGGAAACCTTAGAGATTATGTAACTCAATGTATTCATTTCACAGAAAAGGAAGCCAGGTCCAGAAAGGTTAAGTGACTGCCTCATTAAGGACAAAACCAGGATATGATCCCAGGTCCTTGACTAACAGTCCAGAACTTTTTGCATGACACCAAGCTACCCTTTATGTTTTTGTTTGTTTGTTTTTTGAAAGAACATATGCAATGGTGCCACCTCTAATTGCAATGGTGCCATCGTTGGTGTCCTACCTCTTCCTGGGACTGCTTAAACTGCTGCATCAGTTGTGTTTGTGCCAGCATTATTCTTTCCAGTTCATCTGACTTCTGTTTCATTTCCTTCCTCAAGTCCTCTGAAACACAATCACTATTGTCAATTTCCTTCTTCAAGCGAGATTCAAATTCTGCAACCAAATGTTTAAGATTTTCAATTTCCTTCTCCTTTGACTCAGATTCTTCAGTATATTGGACATGGGATTCATGCAGTTTTTTTTCAAGAGTGGCTACTTCCAGCTTTAAATCTCTAGTAGCACCTGCGATTAAGTCAGATATCTGTAAGATAAATCTTGTATTAGTTTTTAGGCAGTATCTCTAGGTAACCACAGAGTTCTCATGGTTTTAAAAGACTTACTTCTAAATAATCAGTATACTCTGCTGATCAGATGAAAACAAATCATATGACATATGTAGGCCTCCAAAATTTTCTTTTTAAAAGTTAAGACTAAAATTTTGTTTTTACTACCTTAAATGGAATTGCCTTAATCACTTGGGCATCCTTGGAAACATATAAAGCTCTGTAACTCGGTTAAGTTACCAAGAATAGCTCAAGTTTTGATTAGGTGCCTGTCTGGACTCACCATAGGGTAGCTTTGTTAGTTAAAATGTCTGATGCTTGGGATGCATGTGGGGGAACACAGAAATTATATTTTATTCATACCATACCAATAAATTTTCCTTTGATATTTTTCTTTGTTTATAATGACTGGAGTACCTCAGATTTTACAGCTTACAAAACAGTGTGCCCAACAGAACTTGCTGTGATGATAGAAAGATTCTGCGATGTCCCATATGGGAGCCACTAGCCACATGTGGCTGTTGACAGTGGTGTGCTGGTAAATGTTTAACGACTGACTCACAAACACACACAAGCCAGGTCTGTATCTAATCTCCACAGCATGAATACTCTCCCCATGACCGAATCCAAGCTACCAAGGTGACATCAGTGATCGCTGAACTGGGGAGGGATGCGCACAGGACACTCTCGCTTGCCAGTGCTGGCTAATGAGCGTTTGAAATCGGGCTAATGTGACTGAGGACTGGATTTTTAATTTGATTTCATTTTGATTAATTGAAATTTAAGTAGCTACCTGTGGCTACCACATTAGGCAGTGCAGTTCTAGAGGATACCAGAATACTTTAAAATAACCTGCTTTTCAAGGTGGTACCTCTAGATAAAGAGAAGAGACTAACTTGGGGAAGCTTTTCCTCACAGTAATAAAAGCCTTTAGAAAGGAAAAGACTGCTTTTTTTCCCTATCCCCTTAAAACAAAACAAAACAAAGAACAGAAAACAAAGCAGTAGGAGCAAAGCTGATTCTGATGAAACATATCCTTATTATTTATGCTATGGATATTGTCATGTAACAAATATTAGTACAGGAAACCAATGCATGGAGAATCTGAAAAACATTCAGAGACCAAAGTTCTACAAATTTTGTGAACTATTACTTAAGAATTAAGTATCCAAAATTTGTTCCAAATGTGAAATTTACATTAATAATAACTTTTACAAGAAATCTATCCACCACGCTTAGTAATTTTATCAATTGAATTAATATCCCGTTATCGTCAATTCATTCAGGAAGGAAGAGGGTCGCTGCTACGTCTCAACAGCAGTCCTATCACCCTGAGGAGACTTGACACTGAAGAAGAGCAGGTTATCCCTGGGAGAGGAGGCTCACATAGCTACAAGTGTGTTTTGATTTTTAAAAAAGGGAGTCAACATTTAATAATCAAGAAAGTTTACTTAGAAAATCTGGACTTAGGACTTTTCTTGAAAAACTGTAACCCCTGGCAAGTTGGGGCCTGCCTTTTGCCATTCCCCTGCAGGTGGGGCACTGAGACGCCCAGGACCCTGGGACAGCAGTCCTGAGGCGAGGGGCGGCCGGAAGGGCATGCCAAGGGGGCCCAGGGTGGGGTGCGGGTCGGGGGCTAAGAGAGAACCTGCCTAGGGTCCGCGGAACCTTGGGTGGCACCTTGGGTGAGCCAAGGTTCCACGTTCCCGCTTGTGCTCCATTGTCTTAATAGGGTTTCACTTATATTATGAAACACAAATTGAAAGAGAAAATTATTAAGAATTTCAAAACAGCATTTGCAGAGCATTAAACCCAAAACATGAGCACTTTCTGAGTGTGGAACCCTGTGATACTGCATTTGTCATACACTCACGTAGCTGGTCCTGCTTATCGTTCACAGTGAACTGTTCAAAATGCTACACCATATCCTCCGAACCCCAAAGCAGAGGCCATAAAGACTTATTTGATACTTAATTTACATAGACTGTTAATGATTTCATTCAAAATATGGGTTTCTCCACTGCACCTTAGTTAATACACACAAATGCATATATATACACACACATGCATATTACTACCCTCAGGCCTTATAAAAACAGGGGAACCTTAAAAAAACCTTATGTTTAGGATACAAGTCTTCAGAAATTATGGAGGTGGTTACATATGAAAAATATTTCACTTCACTAAAAAATATTTAGAATTGAAAATGTTTATAATTAAAGATAGACTTTAGTTATTGGAAAATTTTAATTATGTAAAACATCTCATTATCTTTTGATGTTGGGTATTTTATGTGTTGGGCTATATAACCATGTTAATTATTAGTTATATAATTTATGCTGTTTTAAAAATAAGTTTATTTTTATTAAAAATTCAATACATAGCTGGATTGCATGCTTATATAATTTACACCAGTTATTCATTCTGGAGAATACCCAAACCATTCTTCCTATGTGACTAAAACCAAGGCACAGTGACTAGAGTTATACATACTATAGTGTCCTCAGGAGGAAATAACCAGCGTCTGTAGTTTTAAACCCATTACATAATATTGATGATCATAATGACAGACCTTCATTTGTAGCTCCTCTTGTTCCTTCTTATACTTTTGGATTATTTCTTGGTGTTTTTCTTTTTCAATATCAAGTTCGAGCTTAGCTTCTTCTTTAAAGAGAAGAGCTTGCTCCTCAAATTCAAGTAAATGTTGGGCTCTTTCTTTGGAGAGTTCTGCTTCAATCTAGAAAATCGCATTTAACACACATATAAAGGCATTGTACCTTAAACTAAGTAAACTAAAGTTGTTTTCAAACTGTAATATATTTTAAAAAATTCAAATTCTAATATTAATTTTAAAAATTAGTGTAACTTTTAAATTCAAATATATATTTATATTTTTAATTTGACCCAGAACTTAGGCCAGAAAAATTAACCGTGGGTAAATATTTTAAGATCTTCTAACACCTTCGAAGACCTGAAAAATGAATAGAGAAGTTATGATAATATAACAGTTCTGAGAAATACTAAAAACTTTGTCTTCACTATTAAAAAAAGATTTTGAGGCTCTTAGACTAAGTTCTGCTAAAAGTTCAGAGGGGATACAAAGTACAAAAGCTGGATTTTTAATGGACCTTTCTTGATGGAGACATTAGAAAGTGTTGGAATCACAGATGATCATTTTAATGTGATTGAGGCCGGAAGGTTGATTAAGGAAAACATAGGTCAGTGATGCCTGCATTCATATTTTGACTTAGATACAATCACAGTGCTGGAAGGGCCCTTGGAAATCCCTTAGTTCGATTTCTCAAGCTTCCATGAATTGTGGAAAGAATAAACAAGGACTTTGGATTTAGATGAAGTTGAATTTAAATCCTGGTTCTGACACATTCTAGTTGTGTGATGTTAAACTGTAATTTTAACTTCTACTGGTCAGGTTATAACTAGTTCCCTTAGGGGTCTTTTTGAGGGTTAAATGGGACAAAACTTTTGGGTAAAGCTGTAGCATGAGCAGGGCTTCAATAGTCAGTGGAGATTACTCCTACGCTCTGACCCTCAGTCGCTAGCATGGAATCTGCACCAAATGATTGTCTGCTGTGTGAGTCCACACCGCCAGAAACCATAACTCACTCCTTCCCCAGCAGGCGTTTCCATTTTCAGACAGCACTAAGCATTAGGCACTTTTTCCTTCAGCTGAGCCAACGTCGCTCTCCCTGCGGTTTTAACCATTGGTTAATGGTTTTGGCTCTGCCTACTGGAGCAAAAAAGTGCTGGAGTCCTTCAGACCTGGGACTTTAGTGAGATTAGAGAAGGGATACCTGTGACAGGCTGGCTCTAGATTTACACTGTGCCATGACTATAAATTCTAAGAAGGAGGTAATGCCAGACAACTTGGGAGGAAAACTGTCAAACCTGACTTGGTGTGACTCTGTGGTTGATGTCACTATAACAAGAGGAGAAATGTCAATCTGAATTTCTCAAGGGAACACTGAAACTAGGGAACCAGGAAACAGACAGTTTGCTAAGAAGGTTTGTGGGAAGGCCTTTAAATTTAATAAAATGCAGACAGAAGACCAGCTCCAGTGTGGAGTCACTGAGGTCACTGGGTTTATCTGAGCATTTGCCCCAAGGCAAAACAATTTTATTTATACTCAACACAGGAAGCTATTTTGCCTCTCTGAAAATAAATGTCTGCATTGTTTTGGAGAAAGCATGCTGATGATCATTTAGAAACATGATAGAACTGTTCAGATGTGTTGCTAGTGGACTGCTAAGGACAAGGAAAGCCTTAGGGACACTCAGAAAAAAGGACAGATGTTCTTCTGAATTCCAGGTACTTATATCCATCTGCCTCCTGGTAGCAATGTAGGAACTTCACACATGTCTCAAATAAAGTGTCTCAGCCAGAAATCTTAATACAACCCTGTTTCGATCTGTTCCTCCCCAGCCCGCCCTACCTCAGGGCTCAGAACCATCCATCTAGTTATGTAAGTCAGTAACTGGGGTACCATCTTGTATTCCCTTCTCTCCCTTACCCTCCACACCTAATCCAGCATCAACTACTATTCATTTTGCCTCCAAAATATGCCTTAAATCCATCCATTTCTCTATATTTGCACTTGCAACACCCTAATTCTGGCCACCATCACCTCCTGACTAGCCCCCTTACTTCTACTCTGCCTCTCTACAATCCATGGTACTCACAGCAGACTGTTCTTTACAAAATATAAGTTGGATGCTCTCATTTTTTCTTAGTGGTTTCTCAATGCATCAGTGTAAAATCAAAAATCCTCTACATGATCTTCTACAGGGCCACCACCAGCCCACATGACACCTTTGTGTGAACCAACAAAGCACCACCTCCTTAGATGAATTCAGCCCTATGCCAGGCACAGTACTTGGTGAGCAGAGTACAGGCTGGATTCCAGCCCCCTTTCCTCCGCTGGCCTGCGCTTTTGTCAGGGCACAACCCAAACACCGTCTGTGGCAGCTCTGGACTTCTCCTACCTAACTTTCACCACATGTTCCCTGTTTGATTACTGTGCTCCAGCCACACTGGGACAGGTAAATCAATACGCAAGAAAGAAGGACATCATAGGCAAAACATTTGGAAAGATGGCAAGGTATAACTTTAAGAGTTAAATGGCCCACAAGAGAGCTTAAACAAAACCCAAACAAATAACATTTTTTAGAAACTAAAGAAAAATGTGTGCTGGGCTACTAAAATATCAATTGTTCAAAAATTCTTTGTGTGGTTAATGGATAAAGCCAAATACTTACCTCAGGACAAAAAGGCATCATCCAAAATATGGACTAATTTCTCAAAGTAAGAATGTATGCAAGCTAGGTAGCCAAGGGCAAACTGTAAATTAGATGACAGAAGGATTTTAGAAGGACTTTTAAAAAAAGTTTTCTGATTTATTATGGGGAAGAGGGCATTTTGAAAACCCATAGAGTACCTTGATAAAGATGAAACAAAGGGGAAACATTCAAGGAAGGAAAGTGGGTGGCTGACTGCTTGAATGTGTAGAAGGTTCTGGTCTACCTGAATCAGCTAGCAAGGAGATGTTCTTACCCTTGAAATATTTCTTGGAATGAACTATTATTATAGGTAAGGAGTAATAGATGGCAGGTGGGAAAGAAAAGCACTGTAGATAGAAGGGAGAAGAGTAATTCACTATTATTGGTTTCACTTTTAATTTGCACAACATGAGAAAGAGAAGCAAAGGGATGAGCTTCAGGTGGCATGGCTAACATTTAAGGAAGCTGCCATGAGTTGCCAAGAACCATCTGAATGTGATGACACTGCAGCACAGAGAGATGACCCTGCTGGCTCCTCCATGCTCTGAATAGTTTGAACAAAATGATGAACTCACAAACACAATGGGTTCGCTTAAGCCACTACCTTATTTATCATCGAGAAGATGGACTCATGCTGAATTGTTATATTTACCTATTTTTCACATGTTGACAGGAGCAGTTTGTTTAAAATATCTTAGATGGCAGGACTTCCATTTATGCAAAATAAATGAATTTAGTGATGATGTGTACAGAAAAATATGAACTGCTTTATACAATAACTAATAGTAATTTTGATAATCATGAGAAATTCTGATTTTAAAATAAAGAATAATATAAGAGATCAAGAGTTATACAAAATAATATTACTTATCTGTGTATATGCGCTAGGTTTTAATTCTTTTTGTTTTTTTCTTTATCCATATTCTCCTCTACTTAAACTCTGTCTTCTTGGTGAATGTCTCCTGATGCTTCCAGAGCGTTCTGAGTATGTTGGGGTTTTTAAGTCCTTTTGTATTTGTTGTTGAAATGCATAATTAGTGTTTTATAATATGTGTCTAATTCTGATGTATAAAATACTGTCTTTTCACTAATTATTTTCTAAGTGAGATCTTTCTGGTTGACTTGAATATCATTTTCTAACTTCCCATGGAGTCAAAGAACACGTTTCAACATAATCACTTATCACTTGATGATCCCTTTAAAACCAAGGGAATTTCAGATATCAAAGTAGAAATAAAATCATTTGTTAATATTTGGTGTACACATGTCATTTTAAAAATAAATTATTATACTATTTTCCAAATAAAAGCAAATTCTGGTTGAAAACCAATACTGAGGATTTTTTTCTGAATTAACTAAAGAATAACTATATTTAAAAGTAGGTGATTATTCTAATATACAGAATTTCTAGTAAAAAATGCTAAGGAATCAAGAATATGTATTGATGTCCTACCAAGAGCTGTGTAAACTTAGGACCAAAAGACAGAATGTTCACTGTGTACCTCTGAGTAAACAAGATATGAAGTATGATGTAGGACATTTTTCATACATTAACTCATTTAATTTTTACAATCCTGGGAAGAACATATAATAATTATTATTCCCACTGTCTGGAAAGAAATAATTTTAGAGGGATTAAGTACTTTCACCAAGGTCATAGAGCTACTATGAAGTGGAGAGGTTGTACACACTCAGATATTTCTGGTGGATCCATAGCTCAGGGTGTTTAGTTTTTTTCATGTACCCTGTCAAATATGTACATGGAAAAACTAAACACTCTGAGCTATGGATCTTCACACATGTACATGGAATAGTAATTAAGAACATGGATTAGGTATTTACTTAGTTTCAAAATATTTGGAGCTTCTGGTCAAGATTGTGGAGTGGGTAAATGCAGTACTTCATCCTCCCACAACCACATCAAAATACCAACTAAACCACAAAACAACCATAATTCAGAACTGCCTGAAAAAGCTTGACAGAAGTCCCACAACTAAGGATATAAAGAAAAGCCACATTGAGCCTAGTAGGAGGGGTGTAGATGTGGAACAGGCTTCTTTTACATCCATGTGTGGTGGATAAAAATCGAGAGGGCTATCTCAGCTGCAGAGGTCCCCTCTGAGGAACAAGGGGTCCCAGCCCCCCGACCAGGCTCCCCATCTCAGGATTCTAGTGCCAGGAAAAAAAGTCCCCATAACTTCTGGCTGTGAAAACCAGCAGGGATTGTGGCTGAGTAAGATGAAGGGTGGCTGGAGTCACAGGCATTTCTCTTAAAGGGCCCACACTTAGACTTACTTGGACTTATTTGCTCTGAGCTCCAGCACTGGTGCAGCAGCTCAAAAGCACCAGGGACATAGGTGGGGAAACTGAATGTTCTAGCATCAGTCCAAGAGCTGGAGGGCAGCTTTCTCCCAGACAGGAGTACTAGCAGAGGCCATTGTT